TCTCAGAGGACCACTCTGGGTCCAGTTTTAGCTCTTGGTCTAATTGGAGCTGGCAGATTCTGTGTCTCAGGGAGGTACTCTTGGTGTTGGATTGGGGAAAGCAACATCCTGGATTTTTAAAGAGATTCCCATGGGATTCCCTTTGGCCAACACTTCAATTAAGTGCCACCCAATGAAGTAGTAGAAGCTTCATTGGGTGACAAGAGACAAGCAGCTTGGACTCTGTCTCCCCTGTTATTTGGTGATTTCATATAGATTGCCTTCATATATGTATATATTTTAGGAAGTTTCTACTGTGTTAGGTTTCCATCTACCCCTCAAATGCTCCTCAATTTTATCTGTCTTTCCTTGTATTCCCACTCACTCCCTTTCCCTTCCCCAATTTATTCTCCCATTCCAGCCCCTCCATTTCTCAATAACTTTATATTCTGTTTCCCTTTCTTAATGACATCTATGTGTTCTCCCGTCCTTTACTCTGTACCTATGCTCTGTGACTCTGTGGACTGGAGCATGGTTATCATTGTCTTAACAGCCAATATCCACACAAAAGTTAATGCATACCATATTTGTCTTTCTGGGTCTGAATTACCTCACTGAGGATGATTTTTTTCTAATTCCATGCATTTGCCTAAAAATTTCATGGTGTCGTTTTTTTTTTTTTTTTTTTTAAAGACTAAGTAATGCTCTATCATGTAAATGTACCACATTTTCTTTTTCTAATATTCTTTAGAGGGACATCTAGATTCTTTCCAATTTCTGGCTATTATGAATGGAGCAATATTCAACATGTTTGAACAAGTGTCTTTGTGATAAGACAAAGCATCCTTTGAGTGTATGCCTAAGAGTGGTATAGCTGAATCTCGAGATAGAACAAATCCAATCTTATTGAGCAGCCTTCACACTGATTTCCATAGTAGTGGTATGTGTTCGCAATCTGACCAGCAATGGAGAGTGTTCCTTTTGTTCCACATCCTTGCCAGTATGAGCTGTCACTTTTGTTATTGATCTTGCCATTCTGACAGGTGTAAGATGGAATTTCAAAGTAGTTTGGATTTGCATTTCTGTGATGACAAATGTTGAACTCTTCTATAAGTGTTTCTCAGACATTTAAGTTTCCTCTATTGAGAATTCTGTTTAGAGAATTTTTTTAATTGGATTATTTGGTTTTTGATATTTAATTTTTTAAAATAAATTTTGGATATTAATATTCTATCTAATGTGTAGTTGGATGTCAGCTATCCCCATTGGTGGACAGGTCCCAGCAGAGGGTGTAAGAGTGGGTAAGGGAAGGAGGTGAGTCAAGCCATGGTAGTGGTGATAATCTTGTAGTCTGACTGACTAGCAATCAAAGTGCTTTTTTATTTATACAGAACTCAATAAGCATGGATAGATAGATTCATGTTGTTCCAACACAAAGATTGTAACATTTTTGTTTTTGGATATGTGTTTCACTTCCTCTTGCTCATCTTTCAATCATCATTAATAAACTTTGAGAGAGCAGAATTATCATTTCCAATTATTTTCCCTCAAGTTTTGACATCATTTATAAACAGAGTTATTTTTACTCATTAACCCCACAACCCAATTTTTAAAAATCAAGAGACTTATGACAGCCTGTTCTCAGGCTAGTAGCTTTGGTCGCTTCATGAATGCTACACCAAAACAAAATCTTCAAGCCAGTCTGAGCATATTGCCATGTCCCAAGCAGTATATTATTAACTTTTAGTTCAGAGTGCCCAAGAAAAGTCTCAGACGAAAGCTGCTGCAGTTATTATTTAAATTCTGGCATAATACAATGTTTATAATTTATTTATTTATATAATTTGTTTATATGTCTAATCCTGGCATTCTGTTGTCCCTTGGTCATATGACACCACAGTGGCTCTGCATGTGCCAATTTTTCTAAGAAAAGGAGGTCCTGACACATCATTTTTGAAATAATCTTTCTACTCTATTCTTTGTTTATCAATAAATGTCTGTGTAGAGCAGAGTTAACTTCAGCTAATCTAACTTTTTCCCTGTATATGCCATGTAATTACCTGAGTGTATAGTGGAAAGAGGCTTGCAATCTGATCTGTGGCCAATTCCTCTAGCCCACCGAATCTTGTTGACCTTTTAAAGTTTTCTTTGTTTTGATTATCTTGTTCCTGAGTAAGTACAGGGATGGAAGTTTCAAGAATATCTCATAGTTTCATAAAGACACCTTTGGCTTCTTTATGTGTGTCACAACCTTCAGGTGTAAGGAAGACCTTCAAGTAGATAAGGATAGTTCCCTAAAAGCTGGAGGGGTGGTATGTTCAGGACTTCCCTGGGGAAGCTTAGAAGCAATACACCTGGAAGAAGGCATAATAATTCATAAGAAATGTTCCATCAATCCAATATCTCCAAATTGAACAAATAATAAAGGTCCCCCAAGTGTGCAACAGGTGGAAATAAAACCAAAGGTGGCACAGTGGCCATCATGTGACTCAGCACTGCTGGATCTTTGTCAAGTGACTGTGCTGGCTTTATGAGTTTTACTGTTCCCATCAGATATGGGTGTGTCAGTTGCACAAAGCAAACCAACAACACTTCCGATTTTGTAGGTTGCACTTTGTATGAATGAAGGTATCATTTGCTGTGAAGAAGTTTCAAAGTTTCATGAGGTCTCACCTATTAATTGTTGATCTTGCTGTCTGTGTTTATGGTGTTCTGTTCATGTAGTCTTTTCCTGTGCCATTGAGTTCAATGGTATTCCCCACTATAGAGACTTGAGCCTGATGTTCTAACATTTTTGGTACAATAAGGTACTCTGTACTCTACCAAAAGAGAAACTTATACACTAAGCTAGTCATAAACCCTTTATCTACAATGTTTTATTGCTTGCAAGTTATTCAATGTCAATGCTGGCACAAAGCTTTTTGGGAGTAACCAACCAATAACTGATTTGACTTAAGTCCCACTCCATGAGATGAAACCCATAGCAGATACTGCTTGGGTGACCAAGAACCTGAGTCTAGATAGCCCAGGGACCTAGGGGAAAACCAAATACTACTAGTCTGAAAAAAGAAAAAAAGATGTAGTTATAAAATGACTCCTAATGATATTCTGCTATTCTCATAGATCAGTGCCTTGCTCAGCCATCATCAGAGGAGCTGCTTCCTGCAAGATTGGAACAAATATAAAGACTCATAAACAGACATTATTTGGCCAGTGAGAGACCTTTGAACACTCAGCCCTCAATGGAATGTCTCCATCAAATCACTCCCCTCAAAGCTCAGGGGACCCTGCAGAAGAGGATGCAGAAAGAGTGGAAGAGCCAGAAGGGATGGAGGACACCAAGAAAACAAGGCCTTCTAAATGAATATGAGCAAAGCTCATAGAAGACACATGGCTGAGGCAGCATGTGCAGGGTCTCCCTGGGTCTGCACCAGGTCCTTTGCACATGTATTATGGGAGTCCTGAGTGAGAGAATTTCTGGGTCTCTGATTTTCTGCCTTCTCTTGGCCTCTTTTCCTTTTCTTGTCCAAGTTTGATGTAATAATATTTGTTTTATTTCATTAGATTTTGAAAAAGTGAATATGAACGAATGAAGGGAAACCTAACCACTAGGGTAAAGATTAACAATGGAACTGTGAAAATTAGTTCTCTCCAGTAGAGTTAAACTGGGTATACCCACCACTCTAGTACAGGATTCATGTTCAAGAGTGGTTGACAAGCCTATAATGGACTCCACAGGTTTTTACTTTTTTGTATATTTTGATTTGCCTATAGTTTGTTGATTATTTCTTTTTTTCTTTTTAGCTGTTGTTCTAATGGCTTTGGTAATATTGTTGTATTGGGGTTGTGTTTTATTTTTTGAGAAAGAACTTAAAGTTGGGTGGTTGTTGGTTATTTCTTTTTTTTTTCTTTTTAGCTGTTGTTCTAATGGCATTGGTGATTTTGTTGTTGTATTGGGGTTGTGTTTTATTTTTTGAGAAAGAACTTAAAGTTGGGTGGGTAGAAGGGATGAGAATCTGGAAGGACTTGGGAGAGAGGAAGAATAGATCAAAATTTATATAAATTAAAAAATTGGTTTAAACAATAAAAATGAGAAAAATGTTACCAAACAGGGAAAACAATCGAGGTTCTGGTCAAATAAGTATATTTTATTCTACAACAATTCAAATGGTGCACTTGTGACCTATAAACCTTATAAAAGACTCCTTTAACTTAAAAAAGCCTTTAAAATAATACACCAAGCTGGAAACTTGCATTACACACAAGTTGAATTCAGTTTACTTCAATAGTTTGAAACAGTAATTTGCTGGGGCTGGAGTGATGGCCCAGCAGTTAAGAGTACTTTTTACTCTTTCAGAGGACCTAGGTACAATTGCCAGCACCCACAAGGAGGCTCACAACTATGTTTAACTCCCAAAAGATCCAATGGCCTTTTCTGGTCTCTCCAGAGACCAAGAATTGACACAGTACACAGACATACGTACAGGCAAAGGAATATGCATGCATTCACTACACCACTGGACTCCTCAGAATTTCCCTGAGGTAGAATGTACTTCAGTTTTGGTTGAATCTATTCCTCATCCTCTTATGTGCACACATGTTACCAATAAGTTAGTTCAAAATGGTTTTTACCTCCTGCTCACTTGATCCAATCAGCATAATGTCATCAATATTGTGCCACAATGTGATATTTTGTAGAAGAGATACAGAATCCAAAGCCCATTTGACTATGTTATGGCACAGGGCTGGAGAATAGCTCTTTGAGGTAAAACTGTGAAGCTATACTGCTGGCCTTGCCAACTGAAAGCCAATTCCTTCTGGTGTTCCTTATGAATACACTCCCCCCACCAAGGCATTTGCTAGATCAATATCTGCAGAC